TACCATCATCATCATCCTTGTACAGCGTAATGCAATGAAGCGATCGCTACCAAGCTCATAATGCATACGAAACAAGTGAGAATGTGTACGGAGAATAGAGATTGGACCTAATTTTAGGAGCAGGACAAGAAAACGAACATTTATGATCAACAAACAGAGAGCACCGTCCAGCTGTGCATACATACTATTTCAGGCATTCTGGTTTGATAAGAAGTGACTGCAAGATCGCCACTGCTGTCGGTTTTCTGCCGTGACCTTCAGTGTCTCCATACCTTTCCCTGTACTTTAGGTCTTGACTCGATGGAACGATTACTTTTTGCTTGAATTATGTTTCAATTTTTCTATGTGACCGTGTTTTCACCATGCCGTTCGAACTAAAAATCATCAATTGATCTTTTCTTATTTTCAGTGTCATTGATGTCAGTCGTACTGAAAAAGTCCTTCTCAAATCCAATATCATCCTTGAATCCTTCGGTTCGTTGTGACTTCATCCTTCATCTATAATAGTATTTAGGCAATGCCAAGACAATTTGTAACCGAAACAGCTCCCGATTTGGCAAGTACATGTGTTTGCACTTTGATGAGTGAGTCCTAAATTTATTTCGGGTAATGACTTCGCTTACAGGAACCATTTGCTGGTAGGATCCAGCCTTCAGATATATTTGCTGGAAAAACCCCGATCCCTGTTTGACTTCGCCTCTCTGAAGTCATCCTTTCATGTATTTCGGTTGGTAAGTTTTACCATTTCCCCTAGGAAGCTGCGTTTCTCTTTTACCTTTTTGTCTCCGGACTTGTGTTACACATGTTCTGAAATAGATTTCCCAGCCATGCGACATTTGCCTGGTCAGGTAATAGTTGGAGGAAGACCATGTGGTCAGAACTCGACTTGGTTTAAAGTTATGCAACTCGATCAGTAAACTTTACGAAGTGCGTGATAAAATGGGTTACAGTGTTAGGGACTACTCGTATGATCTAAAGAATGGAATGGGAGAAAAACTCAGATGAAAGAGCTCATTGATTCTATGTTTTATAGCATAAAAGTTGCAATGACAGAGAAATGCAGAAGCGCAGAGGTTTCCACGATGTTCCCTGGGTTAAAGAGTGAATATGTAACCGGCGCCTTACATGAGTTTCTGACAACAAAAGAGATGATACGGTAGATGGAATGAATACATAGCTACGTGATAGCCTAATGACTGTATGGAGGGACTCAGCAATGGAAATTCAATTGAACTATAAACGCGGTCCAGAAGAAGCAAAACTGAACACCGGAACCCAGCCCAAACATGATTGTAGTATACAAGAGTTTGGCTTATTTGAGAGTCTTATTACCGATAACTGCAACCTTTTTCATTTCTATGCACTTTCCTGTCCACCACTTCTCGCGGTCATTCCTCAGGCTCTTGTTAAGCTAGCATTTAAGGAATTTTGCGCGCTTTGTATTTTGCATCAGAAGGAATGGTTCTGCGAGCGTCCAGCAGGGCAACCGAGGTCGACGAGATCCGTCATTGGTGTTTTGATCGCGCTGGAATTCGCTGGTTTTTTGATTGACATTTAGATCGCTTCCTCGATTACCGTTCAGTGTTCAATGAGTTCTTCTCCTGATGGGTTAGCTGAAAGGTGGTCAGTGAGTTCTGCTTGGAAGACTGATTTGCAATTATCTCTGACATTGTATTATGGGTATCCTTTTCCGATGGCTTTTCTGTAATTAGTTACAAGACAACGAGAATCTGGGTAATCGTAGAACATGATCCGAGTTCACATGTGTTGAACGGTGAGTGCAACAGTCTTCAAGGGATCCTCACCAGCAGCAGTTGATGGCGATATGGTCGATTTGAGTCCAGCGCTGTGAAGAGATCAGCGCTTTCCATCTAAGACAGTGTCGTTTCTTGTGTAAGAAGTTGGTGCTTGACAGGAACAATCCGTGGTTAGCGCAAAGTTGGAGTAGGCGTTCTGCGTTGTCCGTCTGGTTAGCTGGGATGGCATGTGAACCACCGAGAAACCTTTCTGATTGGTCCAGGGATCCCACTTAAGAATTGAAGTCGCCATCGACCACCACGATGTCCGTGGATCGAGAACTTCGGAGCAGTTGAGAGAGGTCCTTGTAGAATTCATCCTTCATTTCTGGCACGCTGCGATTAGTTGGTCCATACACGGATATGACGAATAAGCATTGGTGCTTCGTACTGTAGCTGTTGACCCTTACTGAACCATCGAGACGTACAACAAACAGTCGGCTACTGACCGGAATCCAGGCAAGAAGTGAACGCTCAACTCTCGCACTTGGCGTAATCCCAACGCCAGCAACACCGCAAACTTCGGATGTCAAATCGTCTGAATTACGGGTAGTATATCATGAGGATTAGGTCGGATCTGGAGATCGCAAGGTGATTAAAGTGGGGTTCTATCTAAGGCAGCTTTTTGACCGATATGATAGTGTGTGGATATCAAGTGCACCAAGTGAAATGGCTATTATGGGTTTATCAAAGTCATAGTTTTTGGTTGATTGACAGGAGTCATCTGGAATTATTCGTTAGTAGGAAAAGCTGCTAGTCAGATGGGAAAGAGGGTTTTTCAAATGGGTACCTAGGACTTTGGAACATACTTCGGTATCCCACACTGACGAAGAAATTTTTCTGGAGTAACCCTAACCGGAGTCTTCGACTATGTCACTGTATCAACATAGGTGTCTGATTTATCCCCGTGTGGGTTTGTAATATAAAATATAAGAATCAGGAAAGATGTCTTGGGAGGCATGAATCCAATGGTGAAGAATGTTGAAGGTGGAAAAACGTGGATTGGGGTAGATAGCACTTTCAGATAGATACGATAAAAGGTGAGTTTCTTGTGAGATATCTCGGCGACACAAGGAATCCATGAAAGATTAAGGGGCATGGTATTTGAAGGAGCACTTTCCAGAAACCCGTTCCCCCTAATAACCCTGTGCTGGCTAGATTTCATTAAATCTTTGTATTTGTTGTCCTTCAAAAAAGAAGAAGGAAAAAAAGATGCCCATAGACTTCAAGGGATTCATCCTAAGGCTGTGATGTGAGTACTAGTCGATAAACAGTGAGAAGATACGTGTAATTTCAGAGTGCATGCAGAGGTTTGAAAAATTCGTGCCATACACACCAATCCACATTTTTAGTGATTAGAAAATTTTCATATGTTTATACAGTCCCACAGAACACATGAGAATGCAAATTGGCCAACAAGGTCTTTTTTAGTGTGTCCTAACCATGCCATTACAAAGCAATCTATATGACTAGCAACAGATAACGGTCTACGAGAAAGGAGGGGAAGCAATTAAGTTGTTCAACAGGTTGTATTGTAATTGGTTCCCAATTATCATTTGCTTGGGTGTTTCACGACTGATCAGTTTTACCTATATCGAAAGCAACGGGGTTAACGTAGGCCGACAGGTAACCCAAAGCAACTGCTATTCTTCTGCACTCACAATGTGCGACTCAATTTTAAGGAGAAAATCTATCATTAGAAGGACGGCGTATCAATGGAGTCCCCGATAAGGTGTTTGCTGGCGTTTTCATGTCTAACACGAAACGGACCGCTTGAAACATATCGACCAATGCGTGCTGTAAAACCGTTAGACAAAGTTTTGTGCTTGGTCGATTCTGCAACGGACTGCAAACATCTGGATCATTATAGTGCTGTTCATCGGGATCTGAAACTCACAATAGAAAATGAAGTAAACAGTCAGCTATCATATTTAGATATTTACCTAACTCGTCGTGATAATGGGTCGATCAGGTGGTCAGTACACAAGAAGGCGATGTGGAATGAGCAGTACATTCATTTCCTTGGCTTTGCACAACTCTATATGACGAAAACTCTCATACTCTGTTTGAGCTAGAAGAAGGAGGTCATACTGATTGATGAATTCCGAAATGTGCAGAGTATCTTCATCAAGAACGGAAGTCTGAGCGCTTGGTTTAATCTGTAACGCAATGACAAGAGGCGTTTCCCAAGAGGGCCATTGCTGTGAAAAATTCTCTTTACCGTTTNTTAGCAGAGGTTGTGCATAGAACGCCATCACTGCATCAAATGCTGTCAATAAGACGTTCTATGTAGCCAAGCTTCAAACCCAGTTCACATATAGCCCGTTGTTTATCTAGTCCTGTGGGATAAAATACGTTAACCGCACGACCGGGCGTCTGTCCGAGCACATCCGTGAGCCTCACTCTGCGTGGTTGAGTGATGGAGTAATTAAGTCAATGAAAAGTGTGGTTGTGTCGACACTGATCACATTGCAGCTGTGACCGAATCGCTTCGAACCTTGTATGGCTTTCAAAAGGGACGGTATTTAAACACCCTCGGTCTCACATTTCAGCCACAACGGAGACAGTACCCGTCTTCAGAACTCCCTGTGGGTGCTAAGAAGCAATTTTTTTCAAGCGTTCAAGCTCCCATGACCAGACAGCAGGTGACAACAGGTGACCCATCATGTAACATCCGAGCAAATGTTAATTGGAAACCGGTTGTGATACAAACTGTTAAATAGTTTAATCGCATCCCCTTTTCCCTCGTAAATCCTTATCCGTTACCAGTCATATATATATATATATATATATATATATATATATATATATATATATATANCTTGACAACTTTTCCTCATTAGAAATTTATAAAAACAAGTATGAAAGAGTTGTAGATGCAAAATAAGAAGGGAGACGAAATAGCGCAACGAAGAACTCCTTGAGAGTAGTTGTAAGGAGTTATGTCTTCTGGATTTAGTAAACTTGGCGGTGGGTGAGGTAATATAACAGACTGTTTAATTGCGGCTGAATATCCTTTTCATTGAGACACAATGGCGAAACAAATTCTGAATGAGGGACGGAGACAAGAGGCTACTCGTGTGTTTTGGGAAGGGTAGAGTGAGACAGACCGATGAAAGAGTGTTTGCCGAGATTTTACCTGAGGCCCTAAGGTACGGTATACCCCGTGATCATTCACACCGAGGAAACACTTCTTCTTTGATAACACGAGGATATTTGACTGATGTCTAACCCACAAGGCAGTGGAAATTTTCGGGTTTTTCTGAAGGACAAGTAACCGGAGCCTTCGGTCAAAAAATCTGGCGCATAGGGCATTGAAGCCTAAATCTACTGCGGGGATGCGTCATGAGACATTCAGGTTTTGATCTAGTGTTATGTTCGCTGTTGCGTTGGTTTTTAGTTTGCCCTTTGGGATTTTCATTTAGCTTCATGCACCCGGCAGCACATGTCCGCTGAAGTGCGAGGACTTCCCTCGTTGTTGTGTGAAGACCCCAGGTACTTCCATACAGCGGTTTTTCACCGGTAAACTGCGCATGCATGTTTTTATGTGCTGAAGTGACCTCTCCATGGGCGAAGTCCAATATTCAGAAAA